TGGCAAACTTTGTGACCAAACTCGACCTCCTAAAAGGATACTGGCAAGTCCCATTAACCAAACGCGCATCAGAAATCAGTGCCTTTGTTACACCCAACCACTTTTTGCAATACACCGTCATGCCGTTCGGGTTAAGAAATGCTCCCGCCACATTCCAACGACTGATGAACACTGAGTTACATGGAGTCATAAACTGCGAAGTGTATCTGGATGATATAGTGGCCTATTCATACACCTGGACTGAACACCTCAAAACTCTCAGTGAAATATTTGACCGTTTGCGTGATGCCTCTCTGACACTGAACTTGGCTAAGTGTGAGTTTGGAAAGGCTGTTGTAACCGACCTAGGGAAACAAATAGGACAGGGTCAAGTCCTCCCTGTTGCTGTGAAAGTGCAGGCAATATTAAACTTCCCAGCTCCGCAGACGCTTCGGGAGCTGCGGCGTTTTCTAGGCATGGCAAGTTATTATCGTGGGTTCTGCAAAAACTTCTCCGAGGTAGTAGCCCCACTAACCAGTCTTGCCAGTCCAAAATCACCATTTGTGTGGTCAGAGACATGTCAGTTTGCTTTCGAAGCTGCCAAAGCTCTCCTTTGCAGTGCTCCTGTGTTGGCCGCCCCTGATTTCGCACGTCCGTTCAAGCTTGAGGTGGACGCCAGTGCTTTCGGGGCTGGTGCAGGAGGATGAAAATGGCATTGACCATCCAGTCTGTTTCTTTTCCAAAAAATTCCTAAAACACCAATTGCATTAAAGCACGATTGAAAAGGAAGCCTTAGCCTTATTGCTAGCCTTGCAGCACTTTGAAGTGTACCTTGGGTCCAGTCCCGTTCCAACTGTCGTGTTCTCTGACCACAACCCTCTCCAGTTCCTAACTCGGATGCAGAACAGCAACCAGCGCCTTATGCGCTTGTCCCTACTCCTCCAGGACTTCAACATTGAAATCTGGTACAAAAAGGGCTTAGAGAACGTCATGGCTGATGCCCTCTCTAGGTCTTGAATCAAACATTTCATTTGGGGTTAGATATTTGATTTTTGGGTGGGGGGAAGTGTTATGATCTAATGTTTTCAGTGTTTGCTTTATGTGTGAGTCCTCCCACCAGAGGATGGCTGTGGGTCTTTTCCCTTTCTCTTTTAGGAGTTGGACACCTGGGCGTGCCTGCTGAGTAGCTGGGTGGAGTCTCTTCCTGTCCTGGGATTGGATAATTGGCTAATCACCTCCAGTACTTAACTACCGGATGACAGCAACCTGGCCCCTTCTCTCCTAACCGCCACCATCCAACAAAGAACCTGTGTTTTGATTCGTTGCTGTGTAGAGTGTCTTTGCCAAATTGATCTGCAGGTATAACCTCGTGTGTGTGTGTGTGGCATTAGTACCTCAATTTTGTAAATAGCTGTAAATAGTTTTGTCAAGTAGCAATCGTGTATTTTGGTCACCTTGTATATATCCTTCACTGCAGCAGCCTAGTAGGCGTGAGAAGCCATTTTTGTTGTTTACGTTTTCTCCTGTTTTTCGTTTAGGAAGTTAGGTAAGTGAATTGTCTTTTGTTTGGGTTTTCATTTGTGTAGGAAAGCATAGGGACCATTAGGGAGTTTTGTTTGTTATTTTTGGCACTGCTCACTGCTGAAGCAAATAAATGGCTGATTAGCACTTTAAAAGATACGACTGTTTGTGTTCTTGCTTGGGTGGAGCGGGAGTGGGGCCAACTTCTTGTTGCGTTCAATACACACCTAGACAAAAAACGTAACAATACAGTTTTAATTTCATTTTTATTTTCAGTATTAGAATATTGGGATGATTTAAAAATTTGGTGTTAAAGTTAGAAAAAAGTGACACTTCATATCTATACTTATTTATTTTGTTTTTATTTATTTATATTTTACATTTGTTTTATTTTTATAGTTGGACTCTATATAAAATGATTTTAAATTTCTTTTCATTAACTAAAATAGTTAACAATAACCTCCAGCTGTAACCCTCTGTCTGTAGTGAAGGGGCTGGCCTCAGACTCAGCACTGCTCAGTCTGAGGCCATGATTCCCAGCTGGAAATGGTTGAAGTGCCCATCACAGTTTGGGGATGAGATGCTGGACTAAATAACTTTGCAGTTATTTATTTGTAAGAAATGTCTGGAATCATGTATGACTTTCGTTCCACTTCTCACGTGT